CCATATGTACCCCACGTGTAGCCGCGGTTCAGTGACCGTTTTCGGCCGCCGCTCCACCTGGATGGTGAGTCCGGGACAGCACGGTTGGCTGTGCGATGTTGCCACGAGTAGCTAGAAATCTTCTCTCACTTCTCAATATACAAGCTGACCAACACTGCATTGCCTGCTTTCATATAAATTGTCGAATTCGATAGGCTTGCGACTGCCAACAGTGAAGTACTCAAGGGCCTGGCTTACACAAGAATCAATAGCTTAGAGCTGTAAAAACGAGGGTATAATACACGCACCATGTTGAGATTGACGTCAGAGCCCTCATTCCGGCACAGCATCTCCTTTGGGCTTGGTAGCTGATTAAATACGCTATACACTGGCACGTGTGAGATTGAACGACAGACCGGGTCGTCAGACTCGACACGAGTCATCCTCACGGGAGACTGCAAAATCTAGACTGCACGGAAACTAAGCACATGCAAGTTGGGTGGCACGAGAAGATCGCCTCACAGCTGCCTCATACATTTTTTGAGTAAAATACACAAATTAAAATCTGGAGTAAGGGTACGTGCATCTGCGCTTGTCGACGCAATACGACTTGAAAATGAAACTAGAGCGAGTTTAGCCTTCTCGTTAAGAGTTTCGCATTGAGAAACAATTATAGAGCTGTTGCCGCTAGTCATGGCAACGCAGCGAGCTCGGTAGAGCTTCGTAGCTACTTCTACTACCATCGCCACGTTGTAGGAGCCGATTGGCTCTACAAGCGCCCAGAAGTTTGTGTTGCACCGCTAGTACTGAATTCGCTGACACCTAGGCAGAGAAAGAATACGTAGACCCCGGAGTTGGTTCTTGACAAGTAGGTTGAGTACGTGTCAATGATGTCGGCGATCATGGGCGGTATTTTTGTGCCACGCGAGTGCGCCTTGCACTGCATAACATGCAGATCTCATCAGGTGGAAGAATGAACCGCCGTGACCGCCTCTTCACCGGCATACTCAGCTGCCCTACCGGCGGGGATGGTTCTGAAGCCCACGTAGCGATAATGCATTCTTTCCGGCTTCATAACCGAGTGTAGACAAAGCCACAGCCCTATATAGACCGGAGAATGTCCTCGATGCGGGAGGACGTTTCGGGCCTGGCCATTAGCAGATAGAGTCACATGGCTTTGATTACACCCGTGAGCATGGTCAGCACACCGTCGACCGTCGATGCGGGCTTGCACTTGACATCGATCCTGCCCAAATGTTGTAGTGGAGTTGCGTCTGCGGATGTAGCGGTAGCGCCGCCCAGGTTGTCCAACTCCCGTGGTTGTGCAATTGATGCACCGTTTGGGTACGCCACACGGATCAAGAGGTCATGTAGGCCACGGTACTCCCCTTATTGACTTTATTTCGTAAGTGAAAATTGGCTGAGATGGCTTCCAGCCAATCGCTATCCAGAAAAAATGACAGTGCAAAATGATACTTGAGGTACTCTTTTTGCACAAAACCTCTACAACTGCATAATATTTGGACAAAAACCTCGCACATTTTGTGCTGTAGAAAGGTACTTGAAGTAGGGCGTTGTACTTGAAGTTTGTATGGTGTCTCTTCGAATAGAAATGTATGGCGTTAACGATAGGGTTACACAAGCTGTTACGTCACGTGACACGTAACTTACGTGTCAGCCCTTTCTAGGCCACAGGCTAAAAAAGTGAATTTTTCGTCAGTTATGTGCATGTACCTTATATAGCAGTATTTGTTCACGATACAACGTTATCTGGCGCAAACAATACAGTTTCAAATTTAAAACGCCATAATAATTCTAAGCTGCGATATTTTCGCATATAGCTCTATCACTTTTAATATAACTAGGCTGCAGCTGTAATATTCAAGTATACATAACAGCGTGGTATCATTTTCAAAAATATGTATCTGAAGCTAGTGCGACATCGTATTATCTATAATATATCTGGTTTTCGCGAAATCCTGGCCATTTAATTTGGAAAAAAATCAAAGCACAGAGAGGAAGTTCAGATTCACTTGTCAATTACCAAGATGCCCAGTACAGCCAGCCAAGTGTTCGACCGCCTCAACCGACAGTGGGAGGACGAGACCTCCAACCTCGTTGTTAGCCACGAGAACTATGGCGATGTCGCTCGCCATATAGAGGAAGAAGCCTCCGATTCTGGCTCACCTATTCTGTCTGAGTATATTGCGGCAGGTGGTGATAGTGCGCTAAAGGGCATGACCAACTTCTCTGCGCCCGAGCTGGATGCGCTTTGGGCTCTTGTGGAATCTGCGGTGACGATTACATGGACGCAAGGTCGTGGGCGTAAACCGTCTGTGTCGGGGAAAGACGCAATGTTCATTACCCTGACCGTGTTGAAGCATTTTGACACATGGCAGAAGCACGCGATCGATTTCAACATCGGGATTTCTACGCTGGAGAAAATGGTTCACCGTGTCATTCAGACAATTGAGCCCGTGCTGTACTCCCAGATGGTCAAGCGCGTAAGGATGTCCGAGCAGATGGAAGCTGGAAACAGATTACTGTTTGCTATACCTTTACGTTTGACTTTCCAACTTGTCGTCATAATGGATGTAATCAGGCTCCGTGCAGCTAGAAAGGATTAGGCAGCAACTTCAAAGCGGTAAAAACCACGGAAGACGCTTAATGCCAGTTGCCCACTAATACCACACCACGCGCCGTCTTAAACTCCACAATGCACTACAGGGGTATGCGTGTGACGTTCACAGTACTTCGGCCCGTCACCCCCTTGGCCGATTGATGGCAAGTTGGAAAGTGAGGAAGATGAAGTGTCTAGCTGCTTTATTCGCACTTGTAGAGTACCTGATAGTGTATAGGCAGAACCCAGGTGTCGTTGAAATAGACCGACTCTTGGGTAGAAGCCTCCATAATTAAATTTTTGGGCCACAAATGTAGCCAACTATTTTTCATAGGATCGTACTTATCCCAGAAGTAACGGCCTGAGCCATGAGATGCAAAAATATAAAAAACAGCAGGGTACATGCGAAAAAAAAGCATGTGCTTTTCCAAGAATCATGTTTTCCGGAATAAGGCATGGAATTCGCATAAAATTAGATTTTATGCGAAATTAAGCACCATACGCTAAGACACACTTTTTGAGACTGTTATCTATTAATAGTGTTCGTAGTTCGAAGAACGTTAGTTCGAAGAACTATCTTAGGGGGTATAAGCGGCCGTTTGTGACCGTACGACCTTCGGTCAACCTTCGACGGTCAGCGGCTGTTTGTGACCGTACGACCTTCGGTCAACCTTACGACGGTCAACGTCGCTACATTCATCATTCATGCAACAACGCAGTGGATTTCTCAAGGGAAGGCAACAGGCACCGAACAGAGCAGATCGGAACGGGAAATCGGCGGGTGCGGGAGCTGACGGGTGGCCGGCGCCGTAGCTCGGTGATATGCGTACGCGGTGAGTGAGTGTGTATATGCCTGGTATGGAGGGTGACGTCTGCAGGAATATTTGCTGATCGTGTCTTGAGGGCCGGACTAGGCGGCATGCACAGGGGTGGTTGTGGAGAAGGATGTCGAGTGATACGCTGTGTATGGCTCCTGACAGTGGAGCGCGAGGATGTGCGTCGCGGAGTGATTGTTTGATCCATGGATAGCTCGCAATAGCGGAGCCGTACAGGTGAGCTCGACATACAGCATTATGAATTGATTTATTGCACATGGTGTGGCTGCATTCGCTTACAATTGTGTTCGTGCAAAGGTGATCGCTACTTATCTGATTAGTGTGGTTCATTTCGACTTTGAGGATCGTTTCGATTGCGGCATTGGTCCTCCACATCGGCGATCAGTGGCAGGTAAAATTCCCTCAACGTTGCGCTGCTGAGACTGTTGAGGCGTTCTTCTTCACGGAGTGCGCGATCGGACGGCTTCAACCACTCCACAAGCTTCGGGGTTAGTGGTTTAAGTGCGATCAATCCGTTGCGAGTCGTAACCCGCGAGACAAGCAAGTATGTTTGTGTTGGTTTGCTGACCAGCGGCTGCGTCGATTTCCAGTCCATGACAATCATGGACTGCAGTGTTTCTCCTTGAACTTTATATACAGTCGATCCAACCGCGCATGCAAAGGGGAACTGCTGCGGACGTACCTTGACGTAGCGCGGCTGCCCATCTGGAGCCGGTGTCAGTTTGATAGTGGCTTTCGTGTACGCTTCCGTTGTATAAAACACTGGAAAGAGCGCAGGGTCAAGCCCAGGTCGAATCGGAACAGCATGTGGCCTCGGCACGCGAATGAGTGCGTAGTCTGGAGGCTGACTTGGCAGTTGGACGACCGTGGAAGTGGCGCCGTCGCGAACAAGTCGATAACGGGTGCCCGCAGGGAAGTAAACGTACTCGAGCTTTCCAAGCGTGCCGTTCGCTATACCCTTGGCTGTGGCTACATTTTGAGTCACCTGAATGGGCATTCCTTGTACTAGATCGAGGAATGGAGCCATCTGACCGAACCTGTTATCTGGGAGACTTAGCACGTAGCAGAGGTCGCTCCGGCTGAGACCGTTAAGCGCGCCCTTGAAATTTGCGATCACGCGGAAAGGGTATACGTCGTTTAGTAGCTTGGCTGCGGTTTCCTTTATGAACGCATTGTTGATCGCCAACCGCGTCGAATTCTCCGGTGTGACGAAAACTACAGAGGCTACGGCTTCATCCTGAAGATGCTGCACGTTATCACGATCGTGTGTGGCTTGCACGACGCGCGCGTTGATCATGTCGACGAACGCTGAGGTCCAGTGCCCCAGGCGCGCATTTCAGCAGCCCTCTCCCCATTCGGGGTCGTCACGAAAGCGCACGCACTCGTCAAGAATAATTACCACCGTGAACCTGCGCCAGAGCTCGAACCCTCCGACGTCAACCGTGTTCGGCTTTGCCTTGCCGATGGGGTCTAGATAGATTGGGTCTGACTTTACGGGCGGCATTTGCAAAAAGTCACCAGCCAACACGACGTGAATACCACCAAACGGGATGTTCTCGATCTGCATGTATCGACGGAGAAGCTTGTCGAGTTTGACCCATTCAGCCTTGCTCATCATGGACACTTCGTCGATGAGCAGCAGATCAAGTGGCGCGAATTTTTTCATTTTTATGGCGTGTTCCAGCCGTACCAGAAAACTTGCAAGCGTTCGCCCACTGATCAGCGTGGCCGCCTTTCCAGTCAATGCTGTTTTGACAAGGGAGTTGGTGCGGTGCCAACCGGAGCAAAATGCACTGACGGCATCGACGACACGACTCTTGCCGGTGCCACCGGCCCCACCGAGGAACATGAGTAGCTGGTCGTCTCGTAGTCGCGACGCGAAGTCGTGAGCGCGATAGTCAGCCGACTTGTGAATATTGGCACGCTCTTGCTGTTGGAAACGCCGAAGCAGTGCTCTTGCTATCAGCGAGAACGCTACATGTTGACGTCGATTGAGCGTGAATGCTGTGGAGACGTCGTTAATGCTAGGGTAGGGTCGCAGAGGTGGTGTTGGGCAGCCATGCTGCTGGTTTGGCGGAGACCACTTTCCGCCCGACTTGAGCGCGCTCTGGATGAGCTCAATCCCGTCGGCGCGCCGTTCACCGCATGGAAGTCCGGTCAAGGAAGACTCAGCTTCGTCGCTCATTGGATCCTTGACCCATTCCTGTAACTCTGCCACTGACAAACCCGGTTCGCGCTCATCATTGCCGAGATCAATTGCCGCGCGAGCTGCACTTTCTGCTGTCGGACCCAGCAGTTCTTGGTGAACAATACTCGACAGCAATGAACCAGTTCGTGTAGTCGGGAAAACCGGCAGGCTTCCACCGTCAGCAGCATCGTCTTCAGCGAAAACATGGCAAAAATCGTCGATTCTTCCGCCGTCTACGGAAGTGTCGTTGTCGCATTGCATGTTGGCAACGGCACCATCAATATCGTTGCGACTCCCAATCAGCTCGTCACTATCAGCTTCATAATCTATGCGATTACTACCGGATTCTCCGTCCTCCTGCGCTAATGTTGATGCATGGTAGTAATCATCCATGTTCGCCATGACTTCGCGAATGAAACTCGTCCGCGTAGATTCCCACTGAAAGTATGCGTCAACCCATGCAGCGTCGTTTGCCGGTTCACTGACCAGATCCAGGACGGTACGAAATGGCTTGAAGAGTACCAATGCGCACTGAGCACGTTTGACAACAAGCTCGAGAGGTGTTTTGGAGTCCACGTACGGCATGCGCGCACCCGTGATGACTGGAACCGCTTCGAGTTGATGATGCCCTATGCAATGCGTACTATAGAGTGGATGGCCGATCAAAAACATATCGGATGTTGCCGTCGACTTCGATTGCTTGCAGCGAAACCACGCCATAACGAATTCGTAAAGGCTCGTGCGGCCTAGCGACAATGGTCGAAAGATATAGTCGTCGAGGAAGGAGGCGGCGCGAAACGTGACATTGGACTCGCCTTCTTGGAGCTCGACGAGGTTGCACGAATGCGTGTCGTACTGAATCAACTCGCGCAAAACGTCGTAGAGAGGGAGCGATGTACAGGAAGCGCTCATGTATGCGCATGAGCCGCGCAGCAGATACAGCGCTGCGAGGGGACCTGCGATTTCCCGTCGATTGGTCAGCGCAAAAGCCATGGATGCAACGCGAGTACGTCCGACCGCTGAGCGTTCCGGCCGTGATGTCTGGTTTTGCAGCTCTCGGATCTCTCGACGCTTAAAAGCTGCTAAAGCTACGGCCGTGACAGAGTCGACCTCGTTTTGCATTTTTGTAACATACTTGGTGGCATAATAGATGCGCAGGAGCGCCTCCGAACCGCCGATTAAGACTTGGATATCATGATTGGACTTGAACGCCAGCATCATGGTAGCATTGTAGCCATTGATGTATTCGAACGGTGGCCGCCTCGCCAGCACGACACCAGCGCTAGTGCATGATGTGCTGGCAACTCGCACGCGTGGGAAACGATACCGACATTGTCCTGGAGCGGAAACGCGGCTACTTTTGAAGCAGCTTCCGACATGCGACCACCAGTGGAGGTTCAGCATGGAAACGAGCATTGACACCGCGAACGCGGTAGCGTTTGGCGTCCAGCGCTCATCCTCGACCGATGGCGGCAACGTCATGATAGCTTGAGCTACGTTGTCGTCGCAGAAGGCGTCGTCTTCACGCTGTTCGCTACGGTTTGGTACAGCATTCAGCGTACGCAAGTGCTCACCGTACGTGTCGTCGACACTGTCCCTTGTCGCTAAAATCATGTCTCGATGAAAGACTGCAGCCTTTGCTGCACCAACACTGCCTCGACAGTTGATTTCCATATGCACGGCCGCGTTGAGTTCCTCCGACGAATACGTTCGCAACTGTGGAGGCCATGTCGATGGTCGTTGCTGGAGAATAGCGCGTCGAAGCACGTGCTGAGAGCTCATCTTGGTGGCACATTGAGGACACTGAACGAGCAATGGTTCTGCTCGAGCACTGCCTCGACATGCGTTTGGGCTCTCGTACGCCTCAGGTGGTATCGGCAGCGCTTGCAAGTCGTCAAACGAGTGCCCGCAAAAATGGCAGCTCACTGCGACGTCAAGCGGCAACGAGGTGCTGACAATGCTATCGGCGTAAGCTGCGATGTCGCGGTAGTACTGATCGCCGTGTTCAGCTGTGGCTTGGATAAATGCGTCGGTGTTCGGTGGTGCATTGGCGAGCCAGATGAGGAAATGAGCATGCAATGTGCCGCCGCCCTGAGTTTCCACAACGCCGAAGTAGGCTTTGACGTCACCAAAGAGTCCGTCAAAGGCTTTGGTCTTCATTTGCTTAGGAGGCGTGCCGAGCACGTGCTCGATGAAAGCATCCATATTGTGCATGAACAGTCGAGCGGATGCGACATCGTTGCGTAGACTTGCACTGTGGAGTGCTGACCGTCTGGGCAGCTCAGCCAGATTGAAGTCGAAGAGTGTATCGACTGACGAGATGCCCGTGTAGTGCGCCATTACAAACGACTCGGCAACGTTGGGCGTGAACGTCACAAAGAGAGCGGGCTGCCCGTATCTGGCCTGGTAGGCAAATGCGCGACGACGACACTGTGCCCGCTCGGCGTCACTCCCCCAAACAACACCGCTGCTGATCTCAACTGTCTTCAAGAAGTCACTGTCACCGGAACTGTCGTCGTGTATCGCTGTCGCTCGACCTTGGCGGTGCAGCTCTTTTTTTTGGAGCGCTTCTATCAACGAGGCTTCGGAGATGGCACTGTACCGCTCGAATCGGGCAGGATCGCGTTGGCATTTGAGCGCAACATGCAGATACATGCGCTGGAGAGTGAGATGGTCAAAACTCACTAGTGTGAACAGCTCGTCTTCAGCGAATCGTCGCGTACTCAGCTGGCTGTAATGACGGATGCAAGCTTCTAGTGATACTGGAATCCGCCGCTGCTCGTTTGGATGACCTCTACCGTACGGAAAGAGGTGTGGGAACATGCGCGCGAGCAGCAAATTCTTCTTGCCGGCAAACCGACTTGAGTGTCGAACCAAAAACTGAGGCTGCGATGTGTTTTGGGTCGGCAGCTCAACAACTTGAACTGGAGTAGGTGATATGTCCTGCGTGATGACTTCGCGGTCGTCCGTAATAAACACCACGCTATGCTCCACGACATCGGTCTCTCCACCGGTCCCACAACTCCTAGCGACGCTGCCCACACGATTGCTCTCAGCATCGATATCGTTGACGTCAACGTCGACATCGATCTCCTCGGAAATCAAGTGCTCTGCCACCGTTTCAACCGCTAGACCTGAGCAATTAATGGCAACGTCCTCATACAGCGCGTTGTACTCACAGTAGAAGGCCAGTAAATCTTCAACCAATTGACGACGAACGAGGTGCATTTGCCGAATGCGAGCTTGTTGCTCGGTAGTGAACGGACCTGCCATCACGACTCGGTAGCAGCTGATGTTGCGGGCGGATGTGGGCAACAGCGTCACAGCGGGGCCCGGCATCGAGTCGAATGCGAGACAGTGCGAGCGGATTGCGCGATGCGCGCCACCGCGCATAACCCGCGTCACAGCAACGATCGAGACCGTCTGCGTCATGAAACGCTCCGGTAGCGTAGCACTGGCGAGATGACTCGGCAGCGAACCAGCATAAAACCCGTTCTTGATAGCAAATTTCGGCAGCAACTGCTTCGCTAAGCTGGTATTGCATTCTCCACACACTTGAATGTACCCAGCTGGATGAACACCGCGTTTTGACAGCAACATTCCACCTAAACAAGCAAACAGCCCCGAGCAGTCGTACTCGGCTGTTAAACGTGGCGGCAAGTGCTCGTCGGTACTGGACAGCAGTATTTGCATCTGCTTAATGCGATCGCAATCGTCGCCAACTGAAACCATGGTCATCGACTTGCGCAACTTCATGCAGTCGCACACGGCTTATGTTGCATCATCGAGTCCGGACGGCCCAAGTTTCAATCTTAATCGATGTAAAACCTCTTCTTTCGTACTCTTAGTCACGGGACGGAGAGTCGGAGCACCACCGTCTAGCCAGCTTTGATGCGGTTCCCCATTGGATTGACATTGATCCTTGCAACCAATAGCCGTACGGGCACGTTGTTGTCGCTCACGCTGTCGGCGTAGTCTTTCGGCTCTCTGCTCAGTGCTCTCACGTGCTCGACTACGTTGAACAGCGAGCCTGTGTCGCTCTCGCCGTTCTTCAGCGCTGAAGACCATAAATCGTGGCCAACACGTGAAGCTGTTGACACCAACACAAGCGATTCTTGTAACTTTGGGAACCGACTAACAACAGCCCACAACTCGGATAGCTAGCGACCAAACTTACACTTGTACATGCTCACGTTCGCCTCAACGATTCGGACAGTCTCGAAAGCTACTGGGCATTGCTCAGTCCTAACGGTGCGAAATAAGTTTGGTTCTCCAAGTGAGGTACGACGCGCGGGACAGGCATACCGTTGTTGAGCTATGCTGCACGACATTGTCCTCGTCGCAAACGTTTAAGAACTGATGCTCACAACATCATATGAAATCTTGCTTCGATGCTCCATGCTTTCCGCTGCGATCGCCTTGTCCCTTTCAGGAGCAAACGCGTGAACAGACCACAGAGCACACACTCCATTCAGCCCGAGCCAGCATTCTCTTCCTCCGACAGCAATGCCACCAAAGAAACAGCGCGACAAAGACGCAGTCGACAAGCTAGTACCGGACAACGTGATCATCGAGCCTCGGTCTACGCCGACAATGAAACACGATCCAGTGTTAGTCATGAGCGATCACCCAACGACCAGCTACCAGTCGCCCCTGAAAAAGCTCGAGAGCACGATCGAGAAGCATAGCCGAAAGATTTTCGATACAGTCGACGGTACGTACGTAACCGGGTTAAAGCTTGGCATGCATCACAACGACTATTCCAGATTATTAACGAATGGGGTACTTGCTGCCAAATAGATCTGCGCGAGTTTATCATGCACATCGACGGCAACGACAAGGAAGTGTGCGCGTCCGTGCGCATCAAGGCGCGTCTTCTTTGGATGGCGTCCGACACAGTCCGAGGTCTACACTTTTTGCGACTCTACTTTGGCGAATGCCAGGCGCCAGAATCGTTGCAGCAGCAACAGCAGGTAATCAACCATAGACAACACGAACATCTCGCTACACTCTCACATCGTATATGCGTCAGGCCTTCAAGCAAGCGCAATAGGACGACCCATTCGAAGCAAATCAATTCCTCATCTCTGTCTCGCTACTCAAAGTGAACATCGACGACCCCAAGCTTCCACGTCCAGGAGATGTAGTGATGATCACACCGTTCAAACTCAACGTCTACCGCAACTGCTGTCAAATCGATACCAAACTGTACGGCCTCACTAAGATCAACATCTCGTGAAGTCACACCACATCGCATCAAGTAGCACCGGCACACTCTTCACCCATATCAAACGCCACAGTCAGTTAGTGAGCCGCCTACCCATTTCATTTCGCAAGTACGTCAATCAGTCAATCGAGGTATGCTTCTTCCAATTCTCTTTATCTTCTTCCTCTTCGTTCACCAACCAAAAAAACACTCTCGATGTTTGAGAACTACGCTTCTCGGGCTTCAGCCCGTACGCCAATTTGATTTCGATACCAATCTTTCCGATGTGACGTCCGGTCTGGAGATAATCGAACGCCGCAAATACTTCTTCGCGATTGAAGCCGAATGTCTTCTGCACAAAAGGCTGAATGTGGTGGTCGCTGATGAAACTGCACCAAGGCACGAAGTTGCTGCTGGCTGCCAAGAGAGATACCACGGACAATGCATCCCTTACCTAGGAGGAGAACGGTGAGGTCCGGCATATCTTCTTGCTTTTCAGGAGATAGGAAACCAATCACCGAAATGACGCCACCAACCGCGATCGCTTCAATACTCTGCGTGATCGTTCCTGAGCCTCCGTTCTCCAACACGAAGTCAACTCCACGACCGCTAGTGATCTGGTTAACCACTGTTGCCCAGTCGGGATGAGTCTTGTAGTTAATAACGTGGTCTGCACCAAACTTTTCCTGAACAAACTTGAGTTTCTCATCCGAGGACGAAGTGATGATCGTGGTAGCCCCCGCAGCCTTGGCAATTTGAAGACCGATGATAGATACACATCCCGTTCCTGAAAATTCAAACACGTTAACTAGAAAATTGATTGTTTAAAATCGCGGGGTGTAAGCTTACCTTGGAACAGAACTGTTTGGCCGGCTTTTAGCGGAAGGACACCAAAGAGCGCGTTCCAAGCGGTAACTCCCGATGCTACCGTTTGATTTGAAAATGTATATTCTGAGTAAGTTTTAAGCTTAGAGGTTTTAACGACTCGGCTTCATTTTCATCTAAACTACAGCGGCATTACTGAGAGATGCCGGTGTTATCGAACATTGCTCCAAATCAAATGGTTTTGCAAAGGGCTCAAAGCGTCGAAGGTACATTAAAACCGGATTCATCTAGCTCCGATTACGACTGGGTTGTTTACCGTTGGCAGTGCAGCTGTTCGTAACCTCAAGCAGATCGCGTTACTGTTAAACTGACGCAATCGAGCTCACTTTTACCAGCCAAGATAACCCCGTTATGACTGAGCTCGCATTGTCGTAGCTCACTTTCCAATATTCCTCTTCAATAGCACCTCGATCTAACCACCGCCAAAGTATGACGTCCTCCAACCTCGTCGCATCGTACTCTTCGTGTCATGTCGGAACCAAGACCGGAGATCGGTCCAGACGAAGTCCTGGTGCAGATTCGTGGCGTCACACTCAACTACCGAGACAGCATCGTGGCCAACGGCACGTATCCGTTTCCCGTCAAGGATGATCTCGTCCCCTGCTCGGATGAGGCGGGGGTTGTTCTGGAGCTTGGGGCCGACGTCAAGAAATTTCAGCTTGGTGATTGTGACGGTCGGAAGTATCCTACCACCTGTTACTATGTAAAGCTTAACTAGGCGCTTCAGCATTCCAAATGGAAAGGCGTGCTTGAACTTGGCCTCGTATGGAGCAATCAATGCGGACTTCCTGGACTGCCAGAGTGGCAGGTAAGAGCGTAGGAATTGATCAGTATCAAATAAGCTTCCTAACGAGCAATACACGTTGTCGTTAGTGGGAGTTCCAGCTCCCAATCTACTGTCTTGATGCTGTAAACCATCACAAAGTTAACGTTAGTCCAAGGGCTACGGATAAGACGAGGAACCAAGGTGACCACGCTTCTGAGTAGGCTACTGCGCGCTGTCAAGGCCAACCGACCCGATCGTACTGGGAGCAGCGGCAACTTGGCAAGTGAACGGCAAACCGGTTGCGACCCCTACGATGGAGGTCTCACCAAGCTTAAGTGTCCCGACCGTACTGGGGCAGCAGTAGCATTGGCGTGACGCGCCGAGGCATTAATAGCTCGGGCGGGAGTAGTGTTGTGGAACGGCGCAGAGGCGTCGTGCCCAGCGTAGGCCTGGAATATGCGGCGAGATCGCGGCTTGTCAAAACCCGAGTGGTGTGAAAGCGCGTGGTCCGACACGGGGCACGCTAACGCTGCAGACGCAGCGGTGTTACACTGTGGGAATTGCCTTTTGGAATTCCGCGCTGGTTGATTGGTACGATGTACCACTGTAGCAATTGCGTGGCGACGGCGCTCTACTTCTTGTAGTGCGACCTGCGTCTACAGTACAAGCCTCGTACGAGGGCCACATGCGCTAGTGAAGTTTTGGAGGGCAGTGTGACGGTCGGAAGTATCCTACCACCTGTTACTATGTAAAGCTTAACTAGGCGCTTCAGCATTCCAAATGGAAAGGCGTGCTTGAACTTGGCCTCGTATGGAGCAATCAATGCGGACTTCCTGGACTGCCAGGGCTGGCAGGGTAAGAGCGTAGGAATTGATCAGTATCAAATAAGCTTCCTAACGAGCCATACACGTTGTCGTTAGTGGGAGTTCCAGCTCCCAATCTACTGTCTTGATGCTGTAAACCATCACAAAGTTAACGTTAGTCCAAGGCTACGGATAAGACGAGGAACCAAGGTGACCACGCTTCTGAGTAGGCTACTGCGCGCTGTCAAGGCCAACCGACCCGATCGTACTGGGAGCAGCGGCAACTTGGCAAGTAAACGGCAAACCGGTTGCGACCCCTACGATGGAGGTCTCACCAAGCTTAAGTGTCCCGACCGTACTGGGGCAGCAGTAGCATTGGCGTGACGCGCCGAGGCATTAATAGCTCGGGCGGGAGTAGTGTTGTGGGACGGCGCAGAGGCGTCGTGCCCAGCGTAGGCCTGGAATATGCGGCGAGATAGCGGCTTGTCAAAACCCGAGTGGTGTGAAAGCGCGTGGTCCGACACCGGGCACGCTAACGCTGCAGACGCAGCGGTGTTACACTGTGGGAATTGCCTTTTGGAATTCCGCGCTGGTTGATTGGTACGATGTACCACTGTAGCAATTGCGTGGCGATGGCGCTCTACTTCTTGTAGTGCGACCTGCGTCTACAGTACAAGCCTCGTACGAGGGCCACATGCGCTAGTGAAGTTTTGGAGGGCAGTGTGACGGTCGGAAGTATCCTACCACCTGTTACTATGTAAAGCTTAACTAGGCGCTTCAGCATTCCAAATGGAAAGGCGTGCTTGAACTTGGCCTCGTATGGAGCAATCAATGCGGACTTCCTGGACTGCCAGGGTGGCAGGTAAGAGCGTAGGAATTGATCAGTATCAAATAAGCTTCCTAACGAGCAATACACGTTGTCGTTAGTGGGAGTTCCAGCTCCCAATCTACTGTCTTGATGCTGTAAACCATCACAAAGTTAACGTTAGTCCAAGGGCTACGGATAAGACGAGGAACCAAGGTGACCACGCTTCTGAGTAGGCTACTGCGCGCTGTCAAGGCCAACCGACCCGATCGTACTGGGAGCAGCGGCAACTTGGCAAGTGAACGGCAAACCGGTTGCGACCCCTACGATGGAGGTCTCACCAAGCTTAAGTGTCCCGACCGTACTGGGGTAGCAGTAGCATTGGCGTGACGCGCCGAGGCATTAATAGCTCGGGCGGGAGTAGTGTTGTGGGACGGCGCAGAGGCGTCGTGCCCAGCGTAGGCCTGGAATATGCGGCGAGATCGCGGCTTGTCAAAACCCGAGTGGTGTGAAAGCGCGTGGTCCGACACGGGGCACGCTAACGCTGCAGACGCAGCGGTGTTACACTGTGGGAATTGCCTTTTGGAATTCCGCGCTGGTTGATTGGTACGATGTACCACTGTAGCAATTGCGTGGCGATGGCGCTCTACTTCTTGTAGTGCGACCTGCGTCTACAGTACAAGCCTCGTACGAGGGCCACATGCGCTAGTGAAGTTTTGGAGGGCAGTGTGACGGTCGGAAGTATCCTACCACCTGTTACTATGTAAAGCTTAACTAGGCGCTTCAGCATTCCAAATGGAAAGGCGTGCTTGAACTTGGCCTCGTATGGAGCAATCAATGCGGACTTCCTGGACTGCCAGGGTGGCAGGTAAGAGCGTAGGAATTGATCAGTATCAAATAAGCTTCCTAACGAGCAATACACGTTGTCGTTAGTGGGAGTTCCAGCTCCCAATCTACTGTCTTGATGCTGTAAACCATCACAAAGTTAACGTTAGTCCAAGGGCTACGGATAAGACGAGGAACCAAGGTGACCACGCTTCTGAGTAGGCTACTGCGCGCTGTCAAGGCCAACCGACCCGATCGTACTGGGAGCAGCGGCAACTTGGCAAGTGAACGGCAAACCGGTTGCGACCCCTACGATGGAGGTCTCACCAAGCTTAAGTGTCCCGACCGTACTGGGGCAGCAGTAGCATTGGCGTGACGCGCCGAGGCATTAATAGCTCGGGCGGGAGTAGTGTTGTGGGACGGCGCAGAGGCGTCGTGCCCAGCGTAGGCCTGGAATATGCGGCGAGATCGCGGCTTGTCAAAACCCGAGTGGTGTGAAAGCGCGTGGTCCGACACGGGGCACGCTAACGCTGCAGACGCAGCGGTGTTACACTGTGGGAATTGCCTTTTGGAATTCCGCGCTGGTTGATTGGTACGATGTACCACTGTAGCAATTGCGTGGCGATGGCGCTCTACTTCTTGTAGTGCGACCTGCGTCTACAGTACAAGCCTCGTACGAGGGCCACATGCGCTAGTGAAGTTTTGGAGGGCAGTGTGACGGTCGGAAGTATCCTACCACCTGTTACTATGTAAAGCTTAACTAGGCGCTTCAGCATTCCAAATGGAAAGGCGTGCTTGAACTTGGCCTCGTATGGAGCAATCAATGCGGACTTCCTGGACTGCCAGGGTGGCAGGTAAGAGCGTAGGAATTGATCAGTATCAAATAAGCTTCCTAACGAGCAATACACGTTGTCGTTAGTGGGAGTTCCAGCTCCCAATCTACTGTCTTGATGCTGTAAACCATCACAAAGTTAACGTTAGTCCAAGGGCTACGGATAAGACGAGGAACCAAGGTGACCACGCTTCTGAGTAGGCTACTGCGCGCTGTCAAGGCCAACCGACCCGATCGTACTGGGAGCAGCGGCAACTTGGCAAGTGAACGGCAAACCGGTTGCGACCCCTACGATGGAGGTCTCACCAAGCTTAAGTGTCCCGACCGTACTGGGGCAGCAGTAGCATTGGCGTGACGCGCCGAGGCATTAATAGCTCGGGCGGGAGTAGTGTTGTGGGACGGCGCAGAGGCGTCGTGCCCAGCGTAGGCCTGGAATATGCGGCGAGATCGCGGCTTGTCAAAACCCGAGTGGTGTGAAAGCGCGTGGTCCGACACGGGGCACGCTAACGCTGCAGACGCAGCGGTGTTACACTGTGGGAATTGCCTTTTGGAATTCCGCGCTGGTTGATTGGTTCGATGTACCACTGTAGCAATTGCGTGGCGATGGCGCTCTACTTCTTGTAGTGCGACCTGCGTCTACAGTACAAGCCTCGTACGAGGGCCACATGCGCTAGTGAAGTTTTGGAGGGCAGTGTGACGGTCGGAAGTATCCTACCACCTGTTACTATGTAAAGCTTAACTAGGCGCTTCAGCATTCCAAATGGAAAGGCGTGCTTGAACGTGGCCTCGTATGGAGCAATCAATGCGGACTTCCTGGACTGCCAGGGTGGCAGGTAAGAGCGTAGGAATTGATCAGTATCAAATAAGCTTCCTAACGAGCAATACACGTTGTCGTTAGTGGGTGTTCCAGCTCCCAATCTACTGTCTTGATGCTGTAAACCATCACAAAGTTAACGTTAGTCCAAGGGCTACGGATAAGACGAGGAACCAAGGCGACCACGCTTCTGAGTAGGCTACTGCGCGCTGTCAAGGCCAACCGACCCGATCGTACTGGGAGCAGCGGCAACTTGGCAAGTGAACGGCAAACCGGTTGCGACCCCTACGATGGAGGTCTCACCAAGCTTAAGTGTCCCGACCGTACTGGGGCAGCAGTAGCATTGGCGTGACGCGCCGAGGCATTAATAGCTCGGGCGGGAGTAGTGTTGTGGGACGGCGCAGAGGCGTCGTGCCCAGCGTAGGCCTGGAATATGCGGCGAGATAGCGGCTTGTCAAAACCTGAGTGGTGTGAAAGCGCGTGGTCCGACACGGGGCACGCTAACGATGCAGACGCAGCGGTGTTACACTGTGGGAATTGCCTTTTGGAATTCCGCGCTGGTTGATTGGTACGATGTACCACTGTAGCAATTGCGTGGCGATGGCGCTCTACTTCTTGTAGTGCGACCTGCGTCTACAGTACAAGCCTCGTACGAGGGCCACATGCGCTAGTGAAGTTTTGGAGGGCAGTGTGACGGTCGGAAGTATCCTACCACCTGTTACTATGTAAAGCTTAACTAGGCGCTTCAGCATTCCAAATGGAAAGGCGTGCTTATACTTAGCCTCGTATGGAGCAATCAATGCGGACTTCCTGGACTGCCAGGGTGGCAGGTAAGAGCGTAGGAATTGACCAGTATCAAATAAGCTTCCTAACGAGCAATACGCGTTGTCGTTAGTGGGAGTTCCAGCTCCCAATCTACTGTCTTGATGCTGTAAACTATCACAGTGATCGCGTCATTGCCAACTTCGACGTGAACAGCCTAGACGGCCTCACACCCGGTTTAGAGCGAGAGTCACTCGGTGGAAATGTCGACGGCGTCTTGCGCCAGTATATCGCTCTCCCTGCACAAGTCCTCACCAAGGTACCGGAAAAGTGCGGTATCAGCTTCGTGCAAATGGCCTCGCTGGTAGCATCGGGAGTTACCGCTTGGAACGCGCTCTTTGGTGTCCTTCCGCTAAAAGCCGGCCAAACAGTTCTGTTCCAAGGTAAGCTTACACCCCGCGATTTTAAACAATCAATTTTCTAGTTAACGTGTTTGAATTTTCAGGAACGGGATGTGTATCTATCATCGGTCTTCAAATTGCCAAGGCTGCGGGGGCTACCACGATCATCACTTCGTCCTCGGATGAGAAACTCAAGTTTGTTCAGGAAAAGTTTGGTGCAGACCACGTTATTAACTACAAGACTCATCCCGACTGGGCAACAGTGGTTAACCAGATCACTAGCGGTCGTGGAGTTGACTTCGTGTTGGAGAACGGAGGCTCAGGAACGATCACGCAGAGTATTGAAGCGATCGCGGTTGGTGGCGTCATTTCGGTGATTGGTTTCCTATCTCCTGAAAAGCAAGAAGATATGCCGGACCTCACCGTTCTCCTCCTAGGTAAGGGATGCATTGTCCGTGGTATCTCTCTTGGCAGCCAGCAGCAACTTCGTGCCTTGGTGCAGTTTCATCAGCGACCACCACATTCAGCCTTTTGTGCAGAAGACATTCGGCTTCAATCGCGAAGAAGTATTTGCGGCGTTCGATTATCTCCAGACCGGACGTCACATCGGAAAGATTGGTATCGAAATCAAATTGGCGTACGGGCTGAAGCCCGAGAAGCGTAGTTCTCAAACATCGAGAGTGTTTTTTTGGTTGGTGAACGAAGAGGAAGAAGATAAAGAGAATTGGAAAGAAGCATACCTTGATTGACTGATTGACGTACTTGCGAAATGAAATGGGTAGGCGGCTCACTAACTGATTGTGGCGTTTGATATGGGTGAAGAGTGTGCCGGTACTACTTGATGCGATGTGGTGTGACTTCACGAGATGTTGATCTTAGTGAGGCCGTACAGTTTGGTATCGATTTGACAGCAGTTGCGGTAGACGTTGAGTTTGAACGGTGTGATCATCACTACATCTCCTGGACGTGGAAGCTTGGGGTCGTCGATGTTCACTTTGAGTAGCGAGACAGAGATGAGGAATTGATTTGCTTCGAATGGGTCGTCCTGTTGCGCTTGCTTGAAGGCCTGACGCATATACGATGTGAGAGTGTAGCGAGATGTTCGTGTTGTCTATGGTTGATTACCTGCTGTTGCTGCTGCAACGATTCTGGCGCCTGGCATTCGCCAAAGTAGAGTCGTAAAAAGCGTAGACCTCGGACTGTGTCGGACGCCATCCAAAGAAGACGCGCCTTGATGCGCACGGACGCGCACACTTCCTTGTCGTTGCCGTCGCTGTGCATGATAAACTCGCGCAGATCTATTTGGCAGCAAGTACTCCCTTCGTTAATAATCTAGAATAGTCGTTGTGATGCATGCCAAGCTTTAACCCGGTTACGTACGTACCGTCGACTGTATCGAAAATCATTCGGCTGTGATTCTCGATCGTGCTCTCGAGCCTTATAGGGGCGACTGGTAGCTGGTCGTTGGGTGATCGCTCATGACTAACACTGGATCGTGTTTCATTGTCGGCGTAGACCGAGGCTCGATCATCACATTGTCCGGTACTTGCTTGTCCACTGCGTCTTTGTCGCGCTGTTTCTTTGGTGGCATTGCTGTCGGAAGAAGAGAATCCTGGCTCGGGCTGAATGGAGTGTGTGCTCTGTGGTCTGTTCACGCGTTTGCTCCTGAAAGGGACAAGGCGATCGCAGCGGAAAGCATGGAGCATCGAAGCAAGATTTTATATGATGTTGTGAGCATCAGTTCTTAAACGTTTGCGACGAGGACAATGTCGTGCAGCATAGCTCAACAACGGTATGCCTGTCCCGCGCGTCGTACCTCACTTGGAGAACCAAACTTATTTCGCACCGTTAGGACTGAGCAATGCCCAGTAGTTTTCGAGACTGTCCGAATCGTTGAGGCGAACGTGAGCATGTACAAGTGTAAGTTTGGTCGCTAGCTATCCGAGTTGTGGGCTGTTGTTAGTCGGTTCCCAAAGTTACAAGAATCGCTTGTGTTGGTGTCAACAGCTTCACGTGTTGGCCACGATTTATGGTCTTCAGCGCTGAAGAACGGCGAGAGCAACACAGGCTCGCTGTTCAACGTAGTCGAGCACGTGAGAGCACTGAGCAGAGAGCCGAAAGACTACGCCGACAGCGTGAGCGACAACAACGTGCCCGTACGGCTATTGGTTGCAAGGATCAATGTCAATCCAATGGGGAACCGCATCAAAGCTGGCTAGACGGTGGTGCTCCGACTCTCCGTCCCGTGACTAAGAGTACGAAAGAAGAGGTTTTACATCGATTAAGATTGAAACTTGGGCCGTCCGGACTCGATGATGCAACATGCGCCGTGTGCGACTGCATGAAGTTGCGCAAGTCGATGACCATGGTTTCAGTTGGCGACGATTGCGATCGCATTAAGCAGATGCAAATACTGCTGTCCAGTACCGACGAGCACTTGCCGCCACGTTTAACAGCCGAGTACGACTGCTCGGGGCTGTTTGCTTGTTTAGGTGGAATGTTGCTGTCAAAACGCGGTGTTCATCCAGCTGGGTACATTCAAGTGTGTGGAGAATGCAATACCAGCTTAGCGAAGCAGTTGCTGCCGAAATTTGCTATCAAGAACGGGTTTTATGTTGGTTCGCTGCCGAGTCATCTCGCCAGTGCTACGCTACCGGAGCGTTTCATGACGCAGACGGTCTCGATCGTTGCTGTGACGCGGGTTATGCGCGGTGGCGCGCATCGCGCAATCCGCTCGCACTGTCTCGCATTCGACTCGATGCCGGGCCCCGCTGTGACGCTGTTGCCCACATCCGCCCGCAACATCAGCTGCTACCGAGTCCTGATGGCAGGTCCGTTCACTACCGAGCAACAAGCTCGCATTCGGCAAATGCACCTCGTTCGTCGTCAATTGGTTGAAGATTTACTGGCCTTCTACTGTGAGTACAACGCGCTGTATGAGGACGTTGCCATTAATTGCTCAGGTCTAGCGGTTGAAACGGTGGCAGAGCACTTGATTTCCGAGGAGATCGATGTCGACGTTGACGTCAACGATATCGATGCTGAGAGCAATCGTGTGGGCAGCGTCGCTAGGAGTTGTGGGACCGGTGGAGAGACCGATGTCGTGGAGCATAGCGTGGTGTTTATTACGGACGACCGCGAAGTCATCACGCAGGACATATCACCTACTCCAGTTCAAGTTGTTGAGCTGCCGACCCAAAACACATCGCAGCCTCAGTTTTTGGTTCGACACTCAAGTCGGTTTGCCGGCAAGAAGAATTTGCTGCTCGCGCGCATGTTCCCACACCTCTTTCCGTACGGTAGAGGTCATCCAAACGAGCAGCGGCGGATTCCAGTATCACTAGAAGCTTGCATCCGTCATTACAGCCAGCTGAGTACGCGACGATTCGCTGAAGACGAGCTGTTCACACTAGTGAGTTTTGACCATCTCACTCTCCAGCGCATGTATCTGCATGTTGCGCTCAAATGCCAACGCGATCCTGCCCGATTCGAGCGGTACAGTGCCATCTCCGAAGCCTCGTTGATAGAAGCGCTCCAAAAAAAAGAGCTGCACCGCCAAGGTCGAGCGACAGCGATACACGACGACAGTTCCGGTGACAGTGACTTCTTGAAGACAGTTGAGATCAGCAGCGGTGTTGTTTGGGGGAGTGACGCCGAGCGGGCACAGTGTCGTCGTCGCGCATTTGCCTACCAGGCCAGATACGGGCAGCCCGCTCTCTTTGTGACGTTCACGCCCAACGTTGCCGAGTCGTTTGTAATGGCGCACTACACGGGCATCTCGTCAGTCGATACACTCTTCGACTTCAATCTGGCTGAGCTGCCCAGACGGTCAGCACTCCACAGTGCAAGTCTACGCAACGATGTCGCATCCGCTCGACTGTTCATGCACAATATGGATGCTTTCATCGAGCACGTGCTCGGCACGCCTCCTAAGCAAATGAAGACCAAAGCCTTTGACGGACTCTTTGGTGACGTCAAAGCCTACTTCGGCGTTGTGGAAACTCAGGGCGGCGGCACATTGCATGCTCATTTCCTCATCTGGCTCGCCAATGCACCACCGAACACCGACGCATTTATCCAAGCCACAGCTGAACACGGCGATCAGTACTACCGCGACATCGCAGCTTACGCCGATAGCATTGTCAGCACCTCGTTGCCGCTTGACGTCGCAGTGAGCTGCCATTTTTGCGGGCACTCGTTTGACGACTTGCAAGCGCTGCCGATACCACCTGAGGCGTACGAGAGCCCAAACGCATGTCGAGGCAGTGCTCGAGCAGAACCATTGCTCGTTCAGTGTCCTCAATGTGCCACCAAGATGAGCTCTCAGCACGTGCTTCGACGCGCTATTCTCCAGCAACGACCATCGACATGGCCTCCACAGTTGCGAACGTATTCGTCGGAGGAACTCAACGCGGCCGTGCATATGGAAATCAACTGTCGAGGCAGTGTTGGTGCAGCAAAGGCTGCAGTCTTTCATCGAGACATGATTTTAGCGACAAGGGACAGTGTCGACGACACGTACGGTGAGCACTTGCGTACGCTGAATGCTGTACCAAACCGTAGCGAACAGCGTGAAGACGACGCCTTCTGCGACGACAACGTAGCTCAAGCTATCATGACGTTGCCGCCATCGGTCGAGGATGAGCGCTGGACGCCAAACGCTACCGCGTTCGCGGTGTCAATGCTCGTTTCCATGCTGAACCTCCACTGGTGGTCGCATGTCGGAAGCTGCTTCAAAAGTAGCCGCGTTTCCGCTCCAGGACAATGTCGGTATCGTTTCCCACGCGTGCGAGTTGCCAGCACATCATGCACTAGCGCTGGTGTCGTGCTGGCGAGGCGGCCACCGTTCGAATACATCAATGGCTACAATGCTACCATGATGCTGGCGTTCAAGTCCAATCATGATATCCAAGTCTTAATCGGCGGTTCGTAGGCGCTCCTGCGCATCTATTATGCCACCAAGTATGTTACAAAAATGCAAAACGAGGTCGACTCTGTCACGGCCGTAGCTTTAGCAGCTTTTAAGCGTCGAGAGATCCGAGAGCTGCAAAACCAGACATCACGGCCGGAACGCTCAGCGGTCGGACGTACTCGCGTTTTATCCATGGCTTTTGCGCTGACCAATCGACGGGAAATCGCAGGTCCCCTCGCAGCGCTGTATCTGCTGCGCGGCTCATGCGCATACATGAGCGCTTCCTGTACATCGCTCCCTCTCTACGACGTTTTGCGCGAGTTGATTCAGCACGACACGCATTCGTGCAACCTCGTCGAGCTCCAAGAAGGCGAGTCCAATGTCACGTTTCGCGCCGCCTCCTTCCTCGACGACTTTATCTTTCGACCATTGTCGCTAGGCCGCACGAGCCTTTACGAATTCGTTATGGCGTGGTTTCGCTGCAAGCAATCGAAGTCGACGGCAACATCCGATATGTTTTTGATCGGCCATCCACTTTATAGTACGCATTGCATAGGGCATCATCAACTCGAAGCGGTTCCAGTCATCACGGGTGCGCGCATGCCGTACTTGGACTCCAAAACACCTCTCGAGCTTGTTGTCAAACGTGCTCAGTGCGCATTGGTACACTTCAAGCCATTTCGTACCGTCCTGGATCTGGTCAGTGAACCGGCAAACGACGCTGCGTGGGTTGACGCATACTTTCAGTGGGAATCTACGCGGACGAGTTTCATTCGCGAAGTCATGGCGAACATGGATGATTACTACCATGCATCAACGTTAGCGCAGGAGGACGGAGAATCCGGTAGTAATCGCATAGATTATGAAGCTGATAGTGACGAGCTGATTGGGAGTCGCAACGATATTGATGGTGCCGTTGCCAACATGCAATGCGACAACGAGACTTCCGTAGACGGCGGAAGAATCGACGATTTTTGCCATGTTTTCGCTGAAGACGATGCTGCTGACGGTGGAAGCCTGCCGGTTTTCCCGACTACACGAACTGGTTCATTGCTGTCGAGTATTGTTCACCAAGAACTGCTGGGTCCGACAGCAGAAAGTGCAGCTCGCGCGGCAATTGATCTCGGCAATGATGAGCGCGAACCGGGTTTGTCAGTGGCAGAGTTACAGGAATGGGTCAAGGATCCAATGAGCGACGAAGCTGAGTCTTCCTTGACCGGACTTCCATGCGGTGAACGGCGCGCCGACGGGATTGAGCTCATCCAGAGCGCGCTCAAGTCGGACGGAAAGTGGTCTCCGCCAAACCAGCAGCATGGCTGCCCAACACCACCTCTGCTACCCTACCCTAGCATTAACGACGTCTCCACAGCATTCACGCTCAATCGACGTCAACATGTAGCGTTCTCGCTGATAGCAAGAGCACTGCTTCGGCGTTTTCAACAGCAAGAGCGTGCCAATATTCACAAGTCGGCTGACTATCGCGCTCACGACTTCGCGTCGCGACTACGAGACGACCAGCTACTCATGTTCCTCGGTGGGGCCGGTGGCACCGGCAAGAGTCGTGTCGTCGATGCCGTCAGTGCATTTTGCTCCGGTTGGCACCGCACCAACTCCCTTGTCAAAACAGCATTGACTGGAAAGGCGGCCACGCTGATCAGTGGGCGAACGCTTGCAAGTTTTCTGGTACGGCTGGAACACGCCATAAAAATGAAAAAATTCGCGCCACTTGATCTGCTGCTCATCGACGAAGTGTCCATGATGAGCAAGGCTGAATGGGTCAAACTCGACAAGCTT